TGATCCAACTGAAGTCAAATATAATTTCTCATTATTTTATATAATATATATGGTGACAAATAAATGTTTGGATAATTTTTCAAAATAACAAATATTCAATAACAAGTCTTTTAAGGCAGGTAAGAAAAATAAATAACTTTTAGATGTAAAAACTTCAGATTTCTTAATATTTTTTAATGTTACCATCATGGTCTGTCCTGTGCAGAATGACAAAATGTAAAATTAAATAAATATTGACTCTCTTCTTACTTTCAAATCACAACTCAAAACTCATCTGTTCAAGTTAGCCTTTTCACTTTTATTTCTTAGTTTTCTTTTAATTTTAGTGTTTTTTATTGTCATTTTATTGTTAATGCTGTGTTTTTAAATGTTGTAAAGTGTCCTTGGATGTCTTGAAAGGCGCTAACAAATAAAATGCATTATTATTATTATTATTATTAAAACTATTTCTTTACTAAAACCTCTGTAACTTTGCTCCAGTTCATTTTAGCAGCATGAATCTTTGCACAGGTGATGTCCACAAGTGGATTTATGGTTTCCAAGAGTTTTTAGCCTGATTCATTATGGTTTTAAATAGGTTATATGCTGTCTAATGAAAAATATATTAAGGTGAGAGATTTTTTTAAAATTATGTTCCATCCCCAATGTGTCTAAAAGCACAGCAGCTGTTTTAATATTTACACTTCTAATAAAAGCTCMAAAGTCTTAGCTTTATTTTGATACAATGATTATTTAAGTAGAGTTTGTAAATGCTGACATACTCAGTTACATTTCAGCATGGGATTTTGAGCAAAAACATTAAAAAAGACACCCTTGGGGCTGAAGAGGTTGAAACTGACTGCAGACATGTTTGTGTCATCGTGTCATGTTCAGCTCAGCTCCGCTCCATGGAGTCCAGACTGACTGATGGACTCAACAGAACTGCAGGTGAGTCTGATTACATCACCTGGATGCTAACATCTGTGGGGGTTGTGTTCATAATGGTTTGGTTCATTTACGAAGAACTTGTTTGTTTAGATTGATGTGGAAATTCACCTTTAAATCAGTAAAAGATGGATGGATGGATGGATGCATGGATGGATGGATGGATGGATGGATAGATATGCAGATGGATGAATGAATAAATTAATGGATAGATGGATATATGTAGTTGAATCAATAAAATGTGTAAATCAGTAACYTYAGGTYTGTTCTCCAGGTGTGGAGGTCAGACTGAGATCCACAGAGACACATCTGGACCAGATTCAGAACCAGACTGCAGGTTCTCTCATTAACTCATCTGTTTAATGTTAATAATCCTGGATAAAACTGTTAATCTAAACCTGCACGGTTCCATCTGCAGCTCTGGAGCTCAGACTGAGAGTCAGAGAGGAGCAGCTAGAGGAGCAGGAAACAGAGAACTCAGGTAACTCAGTCACCCAGCAGGTCCAACAAGGACCAGAACATCATGACCGGACCTGAGGTCACTGAGACTGGTTTGAACATAAATAAATCGTGTTTTCAGTTTGTGAAAGTAAACTATCAGCTGTGACTGACAGACTGAACCAGACCCAGGAGCAGCTGCAGGTTCTGACAACACAGAGCTCAGGTGACTTTAGTGATTTTATTAGATTGTCTGCTGGTTTGTTTCTTAAAGTTTCTTCATGTTTCCAGTGGGAGCAGCTGAGCTGGTGTCAGTGTCAGACAGACTGGCTGCAGCTCAGAGGAACACTGAAGGTCAGCTAACAGCTACTTTCTGCTCAGGRTGGATGAAATGAATGAAATATAATCAACTTGTTTCTGTTCAGAGCTGCAGGTCAGACTTGGAGCCAGCGAGGCTGACATGATGAAGCTGAAGCTGGAGAATGGAAGTAAAGGTAATGTTTGTTTTTAATGCCACCACTGAGAAGCCAACGAGTCAAAAAGGCCAAACTGGGTCTTTCAGGTGGGCTTAAAGTGGGATTTTCAGCTGGTCTGACGGATTYGGGGTTAGTCGGTCCTTTTGATGAAGAAACAACCCTGATCTTCTCCAAAACCATCACCAACATCGGCCAGAGCTACAACCAGTCTGCAGGTAGTTACAGCCAAACTGTACACAGCGTTTAACTTCTGGTCCAAAGCATTAACGCTTGTTCAGCTGCTGGTTTGGATGTTTTACAGTTTGGACTTTATTTGGATTTTCAGTTTGATTAGAAGTAATGAGGTTAAAAAATAAAACTGATGCATAAATTCATCTTTTTCTGTTCTCCTTATTAGGTGGAAAGTGATCTGTGTCTCGCTCTCCTCCTTTATGAAGTGTAAAATAAAACACTTTCATTATTTAGCTCACTTTATAAGTTAAAAAATCCCATTAACATTTTATTGATAATTAGATCACTGTTCTTACATTTTGCTAATTTTTATTAAATGTGAAATTCTAAATCTAAATTTAAAGATTAAATCAAATGTTGCAGCTAAATCTTGAGGTTTATATTTCAGTATTTAAGAACAGAACGCAAACTTTGTCATCATCCTGCGACAATAGCAAACGCTAAMACTGCTAATGCTACCAACGCTGCTGGAGATGGTGTTTAAAACCTAAATTTAAAATGTGTTTACTGTAAACAACATGGATGGTGTTTGTGGTCCGGCTATTTGAAGTGCATCACGGACACCGTCTGCAAGTCTGACGCTTTGTAGTGAAGCGTGAGCAGTGTTAGCAGCATTAGCAGTATTAGCAGCATTAGCAGGCGTTAGCAGTGTTAGCAGCATTAAAAGCTTTAGCAGCATTAGCAGTGTTAGCAGCGTAAACAGTGTTAGCAATGTTAGCAGCATTAAAAGCTTTAGCAGCGTTAGCAGTGTTAGCAGCRTAAACAGTGTTAGCAGTGTTAGCAGCATTAGCAGTGTTAGCAGCGTAAACAGTGTTAGCAGCATTAGCTTTTGTCTCAAAATGATGATGTAACAAGAGCCATGCATCAACAGTAAAGGCTGTATTCCATTCTGAAAATCTTCAGTGTAAACTTTAACATTTAATCACAACATTTAAAATTGAACTTTTACATTTATACATTTAGATTTAGGATTTACACTTTAAATTTAACATTTAGTCAAAATGAGCGAAACCTAAAAACAGTGAACTAAATAATAAAGTGTTAGTAGATATTTTTTTAACCCAACTGGAGACAGAAGAAAGCTCTCAGCTTTAGAAGACTCCTCACACTTATCATGTATTAATCCTGTTCAATCTGAAGGAAGATTTCGCTCCATTAAATCTAAAACCAGACCCTTTCTAACAGAATACGTTTGGATCCTGGTTTCAGTAAACCGAACGATAAATGCTGCTTGTGTTGGTCCCTCAGGTGTTTTCACAGCTCCTGTCAGAGGACTTTACTTCTTCAGCTTCACGGCTGCAGATTACCTGAAGGGTTACATGGGGCTGCACCTGTACAGGAACGACCAGCCAGTGGTCTTCAACCTGAACCTGAAYGACCACGGCGGCTACACCTCCACATCCAACGCCGTAGTTCTGCAGCTGGACCAGGGAGACCAGGTCCGCCTCGGTCTGCCAGCCAGCTATCGGCTCTACGACGACTCCAGAAACTTCAGCGTGTTTTCTGGCTTCCTGCTGTTCCCGCTCTGACAGGCATCCCCCCCAATATGGGTACATGTGATGCTCCCGCCAAATAATAAACTATCTTCATAAATTTCTCGGCCTGGACTTTGTTTTTAGATACATGTCGAGTTATCTTTAATATGAATTAATTTTAAATATGCATTAAATAAACAAATCTATTTGAAAAAAGGGTTGGATGAGAAATCTGTCCCTTACATAATTGGGTGCAAAAACCATACACATCTCTTTCTGCAGGTTCCTCTGAAGCCTGACATGGGTTCATCTCTGATGTCTTTCCATTGGTACACAAGCTTATATTTAAATTATTTTAGAAGCTCAATCACTTTTATTTATGTCCATGTKTAAAACCATAGACATGCAAGACGATAAGTTGTACTTTTCCCATTAAGAAAAGGGGAAAAAATAGAGTCTGGGTCATAGTAGTAATGTAACTAAGTACAAATACTTTGTTACTGTACTTAAGTAGAATTTTTGGGTATCTGTACTTCACTTGAGTAATTA